ATTTTTTTTTTTTTTTGGCAGAACCAGGGATTGAACTCAGGTCCTTGTGCTTGCCAGGGAAGTGCTTATTCCACTGAGCCATCTCCCCGGCTCCTATTCTACTTATTTTACTACTTAGTCTATTGTTTTATATGAGAACAAAACAAGTTTGAAGCTGAATTTAGTGGGCACACTTGACATCACAGCACTCTGGGAGGATCAGGCAGGAGGATCAAAAATTTGAGCCAGAGACCAGGGAGATAGCTCAGTAGAATAAGTGCTTGCCTGGCAAGCGCAGGATCCTGAGTTCAATCCCCAGTCCTGCCCCACCCCCCAAAAGAAAGAAAGAAAGAAAGAAAGAAAGAAAGAAAGAAAGAAAGAAAGAAAGAAAGAAGAAAAAATTGAGCCCCTCCTGGGCAACTTAGTGACTCAGCAAGACCCTGTCTCAAAATTGTAAAGAAGTACTTGGGTTTGATATAGCATCCAGCAAATGAAAGAATAAACACCACCAGCCACACTTGCGTCCTGCCAAACTGATTTACACAAAGGAGTGCTCCAGCTTGAAAAGCACTCTAGATCACATGTGGTGGTTTCCTGGGCCCTGCTGACCCCTGGCCCTGGCCCTCCAGTCCCACCTTTCAACCTCTGCCTCTGGCCCTGCCTCCGCTCCTTCTAGCCCTCCCACTGACCCGCCCCACCCGCTCCCCTGGCGGCCTAGCTCCTGCAGGTAGGCAGTTCCAGTGCCCTAACTGCAGCCACAGCCCATGTTGTGGTGCCCAGAGCCTGGCTCGCAGCTGCCACCTGTCATCGCAGCACTCAGGAGGTTGAAGCAGGAGGGTTGCTGTGAATCTGAGGCCAGCCTGGAATCCACAGTGAGTTCCTGTCTCACATACAGACACACACAAAGGTGGTATCTGGAAGCACCCATGTGGCCCACCAGAGACCCCGCAGCCAGTGGGTGTGGGGGTGCGCTCCCCCAGTGCCTGATTCGCAAGAATGTTGGAACAACAAGGTCAACACTGGATTCACTGGACTTGGGGCTTTGTGGGGCCCTGTATCACTCTGACACATAGCCCTGAGGGGCCACCACTTGACCGGTTTTTACCTGTATCTACTCAATGCCAGGTTCAGCAGAAACCTGCGGTAGTAGAGCCCAACTGGCTTTTGTTCTGTTGGGGAAGAAAGGCAACATAAATGATAGATCTAGTCTGGGTATATAGCTCAGCGGTACAGTGCCTGCCTGGCAAGCGCAAGGTCCTGAGTTTGATTCCTGGCAAAAAAAAAAAAAGGTCTTAGCTGGGTGCAATTGTATACACCTAAGATCCCAGCACTCTTGGAGGCTGAGGCAGGAGGGCCCCAAGTTCCAGTCCAGCCCAGGGAACTCAGGGACTTAGTGAGACACTGTCTCAAAATAAAAAAACAAAAAGGTCTTGGATGGAGCTCAAGGTGTGTAGAACTTGGGTTTCATCGCCAGTACCAAAAGAAGGAAAAATACCCTCCTTTGACCATTCCGGTTAAACCACTAGTTGGTGGCAAAGGCCTATTTTTCCAGCACTCCAGAGGCTGAGGCAGGAGAATCACTGTGAGTTCCAGGCCAGTTTGGGTTACATAGTGAGACCCTGCCTCAAAATCCCAAAAACAGGTCCAGGGATATGGCTCAGCAGCACAGTGCCTGCCTGGCAAGTGCAAGGTCCTGAGTTCAAGTCCTAGTACTAAAAAAATTAAAAAGTAGTTGGTGCTCTGCCCCATGCCTGCCTGTATCCCCCTTGGTTCTGTGGGGTCCACAGAGGGAACAGAGCCACCAAGGAGCAGTAGCTGTGGTAAGAACTCAGGGCCCTGTCCTCTGCCAAGCAGCCACCTTTCCTGCCAATATCCCCTGCAGCCGGTGGACCTTTGTACTTGGAGAAGGACAGAGGCAGCTCCTCTGGCAGGACTCAGGGGTGATGCCGCAATGCTGCCATCTAAGGCCTGGCACAGAGGGGAAGTCCAGTTGTCCTTTTGTTTAGGGAATGTGTACTGGCCTGGTCCTAGATTGTCTTACCTTTTCTTCTGGGCAAGGGTTTCCATACATCGCTAAATTGCCCAGGCGGGGCTAGAACTGGGGATCCTGGGGATCCCCCTGCCTCAGCTTCTCAGTGCGCTGGGCTTCCAGGCACACTCTTTGATGACCTTGGAGAAGGCCACACGGCAGGATTTTAACCTGGATCTTTTTTGTTATTATTATTTTATCTTTTTTTAACTGATAAGGAATTTTTAAAAATATATATATTTAGTACAGGGTCTACAGGGTCTCACTACACAGATCTCAGATCGGACTTGTGATTCTCCTGTTTTCAGCCTCCCAAGCGCTGGGATTACAGGCACAGGTCACTCCCAGTCTCAATCCGGGTCTCATCGCGCCCTGGGGGCAGGGGTGGCACGGCACGCCAGGGATGGAACCCAGTCCCTGCGGTCCCTGTGTCAGCCTAAACAGGCACTTTAATCCCTTTCATCCGCTGTGCTATCTGGCTGTCCCTATTTTCTCTTTTTTGAGATAGGGTTTTGCTATGCAGCTCGGTTGGCCATGAGCTAGCTTGGTAGCTCTGGTTGGCCTCAAGCTCCTGCCTCAGCCTCAGACAGTGCTGGGATTGCAGGCGTGTACCACCATGCCTAGCCTTTAACCTGGATTTTGAGAGACAAAACAGCAACCCTCTTGCCTTTGTCATCCTGATGTGCTCACAGCAAATGCCCCCTGGGGTGCCGAGTGGCCTTGGCCTACTGTCACTCCCCACTTGCACTGCTTGGGTGTGGCTTTAGGAAGGGACACAGGGGGCCACAGAACCACTCCTGACTTGGCTTTCCTGGGCTGGAGGCCACCAGGCACCCACCTCCCCTCGCTTCCCCACAGGACCTGTGAAGGGCTCTGGGCCTTGACTTGGGAAGACACTGGACACTGGGACATAGGCCGGGCAAACTCTGGGTGCACCCCCCGTGCTGTAGGGGCTGAGCAGCATCCCAATCTTCCCAGCTCCTAAGCGTGACAGCCACAAGTGTCCCTACACAAGACCCAGTGTCCCCACAGAAGCCAGACTGTCCTTCCTGTCTTTTCCTTCAGATCTTCCCTAGTGACTTTGAGGCTTGTCCTGCACCCTGCGGGTAGGACCACCATCCCTGGCCTGTCTGCCCGAGGCCAGTGGTCCCTCCCTGGGGTGGTGGCCAGGCAGCCAGTCCCCAGATGTTGCCCAATATGCCCTGAGGGGAGTAAGATCAGGAGAGAACTGAAGCTGAGTTCCTGGCCAGGTTTCTGACTCAGCTTTTGTGAAATCTGGGGCCTGGGAAGCTGCCAGTACCCTTCCCAACCTGGGCCTCTCCTGGGAACCTGAGGAAGACCCACGAGACGTAGGCCCCGTTGGTACCTGCGCTGAGCTTTCTTGGTGGACATCCGAAGTCCCTTGAACCAACAAATACACCCTTTTCCTTGCGAGAATGTGCTCCCGGCCCATGCAGGAGGCTTGGATGAAGTAAAAGATGTGGCCCGTTTTGCTGGCGAAGGTGGACGGTAGCCTGGGAGGCAAGTTGAAATGGAAGTCAAAGGTGTGGCTGCCTGCGCCTAACCAATTATCTGAAAGCAAAACACAGCGAAGCCATCAGAGGATTCTAGAATCCATTTTTTTCTCTTTCTTCATTCCTCTTCCGTGTGTGTGTGTGTGTGTGTGTGTGTGTGTGTGTGTTACTGAGATTGACCTAGGGCCTTTGTACCGAGCTATAGCTCCAGTCCCTTTTTCTAAAGACAAGGTCTTGCTAATTTGCTAAATTGCTCAGGCTGGACTTAAACTTGAGATCCTCCTGCCTCAGCTTCCCGAGTACTGGAACTACAGGGATCCACCACCACACTCTGTTTCAGGCACTATTTTGAATGTCAGTTCTGGTCAGCTTCTTGTGTCTTGTTATCTTCATGTTACGTGTATGGCATAGTCATTGTTCTACATAGCTTCCCTCCTGGGCAGGAAGCAGATTTCTACCTATTTCCTATATCCCTGGAGGTTTGTCGATTGACTCTCCGGTAGGTCTCCCTTCTAGCCCCAGCCCCTATGATGGCCCTGGTCAGCAGCCAGCCCCTTTCTTACTTTCCACAGGGAATGTCTTTGTCTTATGCACGTAATCTGCCTTGTTGTTACAAATAACATCTCTGCTATAATCACGGTTCTCTCCAATCTCTTCATTCCACTCGACGTAACCCCTTCCCACAAGTTCCACTTTCACTAAGGGATCCACCAGGGTGCTATACAGGGTTAGAACCACCTTCCCGTCTATGCTGGAGCCGGCCAGGTACACTGCATCCTCAGGCAGCACTAATTCGATCGACTTCACTAGAGACATGGGGGGTTGGGGGGGTGGAGAACCATCCTCCCCCCTCCCCCATGCCAGAGAGACTCCTGGTTCCCCAGCTGCAGTAACAGTGACATCACCTCTCTGTGACATCACTGCCCAGAGTTCTGGGGAAGGAAGGGCAGTGGTTGTTGTCAGGATGAGCATTACTGAAGAATTCCATAATTTTTTTTTTAATTTATTTATTTGTGTGGGGGGGGCAGCTCAGCCCACCAGGGGGCAGGGCTGGCTGGCATGTGGTGCTGGGGGATTGAACCGCAGTCCTTGTGCTTTGCTAAGCTTATTCTAAGTAGGTGCTTTAGACCACTGAGCCATCTCACCAGCCCCAAGAATTCCATAATTTAAGGGGCCGGGGAGATGGCTCAGTGGAACAAGCGCTTCCCTGGCAAATGCAAGGGCCTGAGTTCAACCCCCGGTTCCACAAAAAAAAAAAAAAAGAATTCCATAATTTGTTTGGTTTGGTTTTTTTTTTTTATTTTTTTATTATTTTTAAATTTATTTATTTATTTATTTATTTGAGAGAGAGAGAGAGAGAGAGAGAGAGAGAGAGTGTGTGGCCAGCTCAGCCCACCAGGGGGCGGGGCTGGCTGGCATGTGGTGCTGGGGGATTGAACCGCGGTCCCTGATGCTTTGCTAAGCTTGTTCCAAGTAGGTGCTTTAGACCACTGAGCCATCTCTCCAGCCCCTGTTTGGTTTGGTTTTATAAGACAGGGTCAAGCTATGTAGTTCAGGCTCATCTTGAATTCAAGCAGTCTTCCTGCTTTAGCTTCCTGAGTGCTGGGATTAAAAGCATGTGTACCACCTTCCAACTCCTGCAGTGTGGACAGAACCCAGGACCTCCCTGATGGGGGGCAAGTGCTCACCACTGAGCTACACTGTAGCCTTTTTCTGAATTGTATTTTGAGTCAGGGTCTCTCCAAATTGCTCAAACTTAGAACTTAGAACTTGTGATCCTCCTGCCTCAGCCCCAGAGTAGCTGAGATGATAGGGGTGCACCAGAGCACTTCGACTCTCCTGCTTTTTTTTTTTTTTTTTCCTTCTTCCCATCGTTGTTTCTCGACATGGCAGCCTGGCTACTTTTAAAAGCAAGACTCCAGCATTTCTGCCACACAGGGAATGACTGTCACTGTGCCGGAGATTTGCTGGGGGACAGGAAGACTGCTGCTAGCTATCCTGGTGGGCCCAGACCTGTCCTCCTAGTGCCCTGGGAGGCTGAGGCAGGAGGATCGCAAGTTGCAGCCAGCTGGAGCAATTTAGGGACTTAGCAAAATTGTGTTGCAAAATAAAAAATTACAAAAGGGCTGTGTTCAATCCACAGTACTGGACCTTTTTTTTTTTTTTTTTTGTACCTGGGATCAAACTTGGGACCTTGTGCTTGCCAGGCAGGTGCTTATGCCAGTGAGCTCTCTCCCCTCCCAATGCCTTAGACTTGAGATCTTACATAAAGCAGCATTTCCATGCTCGTGGGTCTGTATCAGGAGAAATACAGCGCTGCCCGATGGCCAGTTGTGAACCTGAGTGAGTACTAGTTATCGGCGCATTGTGTGCTCAACCTGGACCGCTGTGCCATCCTGGCTCTCATGAAGCCTCTACCTCTGGGGTTTCCTAGAGGCCTGTGTCTCCGCCACTGGCTAGAATGTTACTTCACCGCAACAAACCTCATGACCACCACTGTCTGCCTGACCCAGAGAAGGGTGAGTGGGTTTGTTTTGTTTTTTTTTTTTTTTTTTTTTTTGCAGAACCAGAGATTGAACTCAGGCCCTTTCGCTTGCCAGGGAAGCACTTATTCCACTGAGCCATCTCCCTGGCCCTGTGTGGGGCTTTCAATCAAAGATTGTTGAGTGACTTCTTGACTTCCAAGAGCATATTATTATTATTTTTTTTTTAAATTTTTTTTATTTATTTATGTGTGTGTGTGTGGCCAGCTCAGCCCACCAGGGGGCGGGGCTGGCTGGCATGTGGTGCTGGGGGATTGAACCCCGGACCTTGTGCTTTAGCTAAGCTTGTTCTAGGTAGGTGCTTTAGACCACTGAGCCATCTCACCAGCCCCAAAGAGCATATTATATTTACAAAATAACATCCCACTTGGGCTGCTCTCTTAAGCAGGCAGGGTGTGGAAGCAGAAAAGGTACTAGACAAGACCCGTTGTCCACAGTGACAGAACTTCGTTATCCTTGGTGTGTCTTGCTTTGTGTGACAGTTTTTGTGCTCACTGACATCTTGACTCCCTACCTTCCTTGTCTCTCTCTTGCTCTCCCTTCACACCGGACTATATTCCCGGCTCTTTTTTTGTTCTTGATTTTGCTTTTTCAAGATCATCTGTGTGCGTGTGCTTGCGTGCGTGCGTGTGTGTGTGTGTATGTGTACTCTAGGCTGGGCTGTGAACTCATGGGAATCCTCCTGTCTCAGCCTCCTGAGTCAGAGATTACAGCCATGTGAAACCACACCCAGCTGTTTTACACATTTGGTTTTTTTTCTTTTTCTTTTTTGAGACAGGTTTTTACTAAGTCACTGTCTTATTTACTTTTCTCTGTAGCTGAGACAAAATACCCAACACCCAAAGTTTAAAGGAAGAAAGATTATATTTAGCTCACAGTCTGTAGAGGTCTCAGTCCATAATTGTGGCATGGTGGACAAGCATCGCAGTGGAGAAGCAGTCTGTGGTAGGCAGAAGGCAGCAAGCCACGCAAGGAGCCACAGCTCTGTCTATCCCTTTATCTTACCCAGGCTCCTCAGCGTAGGTAGCCCTCACACCCTTAGCACTGGGGCCCTTGAGCCAATCCCAGCCTCACACACTGTAGATCTAGCCATCTCTGAAAAATCTCTGCCTGTGACTGCATGAGGCTTTAGGGGGACATCTAGACGCAGCTGTAGAGCCAGGAAGATGGCTCAGTGGAATAAGCGCTTCCCTGGCAAATGCAAGTGCCTGAGTTCTAATCCCCGGTTGCACCAAAAAAATAAATAAAATAAAATAGACACAGCTGAAATGTTCACTGAGTTTCCCAGACTGGGATCCAACTCAGGATCCTCCTGCGTCAGCCTCCCAGAGTGCTAGGAAGACAGGTGTGTGCTATCACACCCAGCCATCAACTTGTTTTCTAAAATGTTAAGAGTAGTCTTTTTTTTTTTTTGAGGAACTGGGGATTGAACTCAGGCCCTTGCGCTTGCCAGGAAGCACTTATTCCACTGAACCATCTCCCTGGTCCCTGAGAGTAGTCTTTTCTTTTTCTTTTTCTTTTTTTTTTTGCGGAACTGGGGATTGAACTCAGATCCTTGTGTTTGCCAGTCAAGCGCTTATCCTACTGAGCCATCTCCCTGGCGAGTAGTCTTTTCTTAATTTTTATTTTATTTTATTTTTTGGTGGAACCAGGGATTGAACTCAGGTCCTTGATCTTACCATGCAAGCACTTATTCTACTGAGCCATCTCCCCAGTCCTTTTTAAATTTGTTTTTAAATTGTTAATCTGAGTAATTATTGAGTAAATTTGAAAACTTTTTTTTTTTTTTGCAGAACCAGGGATTGAACTCAGACCCTTGTATTCGTTTGTTTTTTGAGGAACTGGGAGGCCCTTATGTTTGCCAGGGAAGCACTTATTCCACGGAGCCATCTCGCAGGCCCTAGGGATTGAACTCAGGCCCTTGCGCTTGCCAGGGAAGTACTGAGCCATCTCTTGGACCCTGGTTTTGTCTTTTTGAAATAGGGTCTTGTATGTAGTCCAGGTTGGCCTTGAACTCAAGCTCTTCCTGTTTCATCCTCCAGTGTTGGGATTGTAGGTGTGAGACATTGTGTCCAGTAAATTTGAGGAATTCTGACTTTCCTGAAAAGATTAGGGAATCAGCACCCTGAATTGCCTTGCAAAGTCACTTTCTGGGAGCTTGCAGGATAGCGCAGTAGAATAAGCACTTGCCTGGCAAGTACAAAGACCTGAGTTTAATCCCTGGTTCTGCAAAAAAAAAAAAAAAAAGTCACTTTCTGCTGGGAACGTGAGGTGCCCTTCTACGGCCTTTCGCAGTACTGGGGGACTGAACTCAGGGCTTCGTGTAAATCTACGTCTCCTACCCTCTCTTTTCTTGAATTTTTTATGCAACAAGGTCTCACTAAGTCTTTAGATTGTGCACATTGGGCTTGAATTTGTGATCCTCCTGCTTCAGCCTCCCAGAGTGCTGGGGTTGGAGACACATGCCCCTCCACCAAATTTAACTTGTGGTGGCTAAAGGTCCCAGGGCTGCAGTGGGCATTGGGCACTTGAAGACCAACCACATTTCACCCTTCAACCACGTTGGCTGTTTCCAACTTGGGTACCGACGGGCTGGGAGAGGCGTGTCCTATGGAAATCCCACCGGCCTTGTGAAGCTCGGTGGGCCTGTCGATGTGGGCCACATGATGTGGGCCTCGGGGGCCGCGTGGCAGACACCTGGCTGCTACTCCATCTCCTGCTTTGGGAGACCCTTAGCAGTGACATCCAGACCTTGCATACTGGCATGCATGAGTGTCTTGTGGCTGTCCAGACCAATGACCACCAACTTTGTGGCTTCAAACAGCACAAATGTGTTACTGCTTTACACTCCCAGAAGTCACAAGCCCCAGACGAATGTTGGGGGCTGACATTGAGGGGCTGCTGGCTGCCATGATGGAGAAGCTGTTCCATTTCTTTTCAGCATTCAGAGGTGACACGTTTGCCTTGTCTCATGGCCACCTCTGTTTTTTGTTTTGTTTTGAGTCAGGGTCTTGCTACATAGTTCAGGCTGGCCTTGAATTGACTGTGTAGCTTAAGCTGGCCTATGAACTCATGGCATGTTCCTGCCGCAGCCTCCGGCAGGCGCCACCATGCCCAGCGTGGCCTCCTTCTAACCTCTGCATCTCTGGTCAAGTCTCCTCCTCTGACTGGCCTTCCTGCCTCTCTCCTCCACTCCCTGGGGACACCCTCCTAATGACACGAGGCCTGCCTGAACCACCTAGCTTCCGGGACAATCTCCCCATTTCAGAACTCCTAACTGCATCACACCTGCTGACACTGTTGCTGTGGAAGGCACCTTCTCCAGTCTGGGGCTGAAGGTGTGGATGTTTCTGGGGGCCACAATCCTGCTGACTGCGGGGGCAAGAGCAGAGACTTCTGCCTGACTAGAGCTCAGAAAAGATGAAACTCAACAACTTTCTGCTTACAACCCTCCAAGACTGCTCCCTGCTGTCAAGAGAAAGACCAGAGTCCTTCCGGTGGCCTTGGAGGTCTTCCGAGTCACTCCTCTGACCCAGTCCTTGCCCCTCCCCTGGCTCAGCCTGCCCCAGCTCCTTGAGCCTCCTTCTAGCTCTCCCAACACCCCCAAGGCTACTCCCTCCAGGACAAATATGTCCTTGGGATTGTCATCTCAGGTCTTAGCTCAAATGTCACTTCAGCCCCCACAGAGGGCCACCAGCCAGGATGTCTTCTCTCCCCTGCTCGCAAGGACTCTTCATGGCCAGGAGCACTACAGAAATGATGTTCTATTTATTCTTGTCTCATCTACATTCCCAGACAAGAATTCGTCCTGTCTTAGACTACCAACCAGGCTTAAGTCTTGGTCGCTGTTGGGCTCCCCAGTTCTGAGTACCCTGTCCAGCTAAGGTGCTGGGGACAGGTCACTGGCACGCCTGCCCGGACTGCCCAGGAGGGAGCAGGCCAGGCGGAGGGGGCAGGGCAGTCCTGCCCGCCTGGACAGCGAGGAGGAAACAAGGCGGGAAAACGAGGCGGGAAAACCCAGCCAACAGGCCCTGCGGGTGGGTGGGGAGCGCTGGCAGGCCCTGACACCAGGCCATGGGATGGGGGTGATCAGGCTAGCTATGGGGTGCACACTGTCTTGTGGTGGGTGGTCTCTGGCTTCTCCGGTGGTAGGCAGTGTTTGTGGCCTGGTCAGTGGGCATCCAGGGGAGGGGGCTGCGGGTATGGATTTAAGATAAGGTCAGGGATTTCCACATTGGAGGGTGTCCCTGTGTTGGGGGTCCTGTGAAGTGGGCATAGTGGGAAGTCCAAGTCCCTCCGCCCAGACCCCTGGCACGCTGGGTGCGCCCAACAGAGCAATGGAACAGGGCGGGGCCGGGGCCAGCTGGGCGGAGTTGGGGGGGGTGGACAGAAGTGGAGGGGGCGCGCCCCCCCACCCTTACCCGGTTCCCGCCACTGCAGCAGCCAATCAGGAGGCAGGTGCCCGCCCGTGGCACTGCCTCCCGCGGCCCCGCAATTCCTCAGCGCAGACTTTTCGCGGGAAAAAAATCAGAGCAGCTGGTAGCGCGGCGGACAGCGTTGGCAGAACGCGCACTGTGGGTCGCACTCAGACCCGCGCGGGAGTCCGGGCTACGCACTTGGCTGCATTGCCGTCCCCAGCCGCGCAGACCAGAGCGTTGAATTCCCGCGGCAGGAAAGGTGAGCGGCGAGGCGGATTGCGGTGCCAGCTCGAGCTGGGGTTACAGGCACCGGGATTTAGCAAAACTTTCCCGCGTGGCCGGGACACGCGATCAGTGTGGGCGCACGCGTGCCTTGGAGCGGGGGATTGCTTTAAAGTCGATCTCGGGATCCAAGGCCTGTGCCTTGGCATACCCGGCTCGGGCGACGGCGAGCGCCACGCCGCGGCAGCTGGGCTGGGGTCGCGCGGGCCTGGTGGGGGAGGGCCGGGCGAGCCGCGGGGGAGGATGTCAGTCTCCGCGCCTGCGCGCGGGATGCCCCGCGATTCAATTGTCGCGCCGGAGCCTGATTTCGCGCGCCCTGAGCTCCCCGGGATGCTCTAGACCAATAGGGAGCGAGCGGGGAGGAGCTCTCTGGAACGGTGGAGCCAATAAGAGGACAGGCTCAAGTGAAGGGAGGCGGGACTTTACGTGCTGGGCCCTCGGTCTGTCCGGGTGGCGGTGGGCGTGGGCTTGCTGGGGCTACCCGCGCGGCCAGTTGAGAGTGCGGGAGAGGACGCCGGGACTTGAGAGTTAGGTGCTCGGGGAGTGTAGCCTGCTCCGGGACTGAGGTCTGTCTTCTGGCACGCGGGCGGGGGCGGCCGGGACGGGGCGGCCGGTTGCCATGGCCACCGCGGGGCTGGCGCGCGTCGCGCACGCGCGTGGGGGCACGGAAGGGGCTCCGGGGTCGCAGGTCTGGGGGAGTCTTATGCTCTGTTTCGCACTTCGTTGAGTTTTTCCCCCTTCCTTCTCCGTCTCCGGGGACTTCTGAAGTTCCGGCCCGTTCTGGACTTTTGCAGTTTACAAATCTTTGGAATGAATGAATGAACGACCCAGGGCAGCCACTCGTGGCGGGGCTGGACGTCCCCGGCCGCTGTTTTCCTGTGCATAGGGGTGGTAGGTTACACTGGGTGGTCTGAGATGGCGTTTGTTTTCTTCCACCCCCTGCTTAATTCTCAACAGTTGCAAGTCATTAAGGCAGTTAAGTTTTTAATTTCATTTACCTGGCCCTGAACCTTGGCTGGTTGAATATAGGGACTGAGAATTTTCTAAGTGAACCCCAGTGCCCCAATAACCTGGTAATGAGGAAACTGACCTAAGGTTCTGCTCTGTTTCCCCCACCCAGCACTGACACCATGTGGGTCCAGGTGCGGACCATGGACGGCAAGGAGACTCACACCGTGGACTCGCTGTCCAGGCTGACCAAGGTGGAAGAGCTGAGGCGGAAGATTCAAGAGCTGTTTCACGTGGAGCCGGGTTTGCAGAGGCTCTTTTACAGGGGCAAGCAGGTAAGCCCGCCCGCCAAGCTGCCCGCCCGCCAGCACCTTTGTTCCTGACTGGTCCAGGCACCCGGCCCCTGCAGCCAGCCACCAGCGCAGACAGACTTCCCCCCCTCGTCCGGTCCCGCTTCACGACTCCCGGAAGAAGTCTTACAGCAACCTCAAATGCTTGCGAGAGGGAAGGAACAAAGGCCAGACTTGCACATTGACACGCCAGGCAGGCAGCTGGCACTCCTATCTCTAGTGCCTGGGCTTTTAAACTTTAGGGTTTTTTTTTTTTTTTTTAAACTTGTCTTGAGATAATTTCTAAAGAAGTCGGAGGTGGCCAGCAGGGCTGAGGAATTTAAAAAGCGAGCTGAACCACAGAATGAATGCCTATACAGTTAAGGGGGACGGGACCAGGTTTTTGTTTTACATCATAGCCTGATTGCCCACAGCCTTCGCCCATTCAGCATTAGACCCCGTCCAGGTTGTGGGATTAGAGATCTGGATTAGTTTATTCAGAGGATAGAGTGCAGGGGTCTGGAATTCTGGCAACTCTGGGCCAACTTGGAGGCTGGGGTGGTCTCTGTGGGCCCCCACATACACATTTCTGTGCTCTCCCCCTGGCCCTGTACTGGTAACATGGTCATTGTGCTAACAGCTGCCTGCACTTGGGACACCGCTTTATCGTTGGCACCTGGGGGTTTTGTGTCGTTGATAGGAGCCGCAGGTCTTTGTAGCAAGTGGGGTTTCCTGGGTGGCCAAGATGTGTGGTGCAGGCTCAGGTACCAGCTGCTGGGACTGGCTTAGAGTCGTTGATTGTAACTGTTGGTGACGAGACTATGGGACTGGATAGAAAGTCTTAGTCCAACTGGGTTTTTTTTGTGTGTGTGTGTCCAGACTTTGTTGTCGCATTTTGAGCCGGGTGCTGCTGCCATCTGCTGTCTAGATTGGTAACAGACACCGGGCGCTTGGCGCAGGGCTGGGGGCCTGGAGGATACTGCCCGCTCACTCCACAGGAGACTTGATTAATTTCTCAGGGAAGCTTTGCATTGGAAAATCCTTCTTAGCCTCCTTGCCCTGAGCCTGAGGACTCATGAAGATCTTAAGAGTCCAATCTAAGCTGGGGGTGCACGTGAGACCCTGTCTCAAAAAGGGCTATGACATAGAGCTCGGTGGCCTTAGGTTCAGTCCCCAGGACCGCCAGAAAAAAAGCCCAAGCAAAAGAAGTTGAAGTGGCCCAGAGACTGCTGTGGTGGCGGCAGCAGCGCAGCTGTGGCTCATGCAGCGCTCAGGCTGGCCTCCCAGGGGAGCTGTGCCTTGCACGCTGTCCCTCCACAGTGGCTGCTGTTTTTGGCGTCCCAACAGATTTTGACTGCCAGCATCCTGCTATGTAGCTCAGGCTGGCTTTGCGCTCACTAGGTAGCACCCATTGACCTAGGTCACAGTGATCCTCCTGCCTCAGCCTTCACGGCCGGCTTTGATTACTCTTCTGATTGAGCCCTGGTGTGTGGGTGCTAGCAGGAGGCCTGGGAGAGCCAGGTGTGCCTGCTGGGCTCGCGTGGGGCTGCCTTCTGTTCTCAACATTAAGGCGACGTTGTTACCTGGTATCCTGGTGTCCACTCCGCCAGGCACCAGGCCGGAGTTTAGCTCTGACACTTCCTGCTTGCAGGAAGTGAGGAAGAGAAGTGAACACCACCACACTCACCACATTCATGTTACTTCTTGGCATTTCGCTAAATTTGTTCTTAAGGTTTTTGAGACAGGTTCTCGCTAAGTAGATCTGTAGTTTGAGCTGGCTTTGAACTCGCCCAAGCTGCCCTCCAATTTTTTTTTTTTTAATTTTTTATTTATGCGTGTGTGTGTGTGGGGGGCCAGTTCAGCCCACCAGGGGGTGGGGCTGGCTGGCATGTGGTGCTGGGGATTGAACCGTGGTCCCTGTGCTTTGCTTAGCTTAGCTTGTTCTAAGTAGGTGCTTTAGACCACTGAGCCATCTCACCAGCCCCTGCCCTCCAATTTGAGGTGATCCTCTTGCCTCAGCCTCCCAAGTATTAGGATTACAGGTGTGTGTGCTTGGCTCTTGGTTTATCAAGTAGTGCTTCTTATGCTGTCTCCATTAACCAGTCGCCCATGGTTCACTGGAGTTCAGTATTCCTAGTTTTGCTGCTTTTTTCCCCTGGTACTAGGGATTGAACCCAGAGCCTTTGGACTGAGCTACATGCTCAGGCTTTTTTTTTTTTTTTTTTAAAGACCTTGCTATGTAGCACAGGCTGACCTTGAACTCTCAGTGATCCTCCTGCCTCAGCCTCCTGAGTGATGAGATTGCAGGCATGTGCCACAGTGTGGCTTAGTTTTTTTTTTTTTTTTTTTTTAAGGCCAAGCCTGCCAGATTGCCCAGCTTGATCTCAGACTTGTGATTCTCCTGTCTCAGCCTCCCAGAGTGCTGGGATGACAAGCGTGGGTATATTTGTGTATCTAGTGAGAAATACACATGCTCAACAGACTGAACTGAGACAGACATCGTTTTCTGGGTCATGCAAACTCCATCCTCTCCATTTTTAGTGGAATAAATACAAGTGTGTCTCACATCCATGGCCACTTATGCCAAAGTAACAATAGGAACATGTTGCTGCACACGTGTGTGTGTGTGTGTGTGTGTGTATGTGTGTTTAATAATGTTAGTAATAATGGCAGGATGTGAGGGATACACAGGCCTGGCCTTGACTCTGACATGGTGGCTTCGAATCTGGGGAAGCTAGGATTCAAACCCCATTAGTTAGCAGAAGAACCCGGCAGCTTTCCTAGGGAAGGTTTCCTAAGTCCCTGCCTCCCACCCCCTTCTCCACGTGGTGGCTTTGTAGGGAATGTGCATTTGCTTCCCTCTTCCGGGTGAGGGAGCTAAGCCTCTGATGCGTGACATCACTTCTCTAGGTCATCTGGCTGGGAAGTGGCAGGAGGGAGGCGTGAACGATGACCAGAGGTGGCGGCCATGTGGGGCTGCGGAGCCCAGTGGAGTCTCCACCCGCGCTGGGCCAGCCCCGGGAGAAACTGTCCCGGCCTGTGGGGTGCGAGTGAGCTCTTCTCGCCTAGTGTTCTGGAGCTGCTGTTTTGCTTTAGGTTGGGGGTGTGTGTGGCCCAGGGCCTGGTGCACACTCGGCAAGCATGCACCCCAGAGCCCCCCTCTTTTGTGTGGCCTGGCAGCCTGAAGTCTGCAGGGAGGTGGGTCGTCTTCAGGAAGTGGCGCTCTGCCTTGGGTGAATGGGGTGGCCATTATGCTCCCTGATAGGCGGAAATGCGTGCCTGCCTCGCGCTCACGGGTCCCTGCGCGCTGGATTTGGTTGGTGGTGGGGGTGAAGGAGGAAGGCGCTGGCAGCTTTTTTTTTTTTTTTTTTTTTAGCTCCAGTAAAATAACAACAGCAGTCTTTGCTCTGATCCAGAGTAGTTTTATGGATTCCTTCCCATCCCGAGTGCCTCTGGCCACCGCACCAGTTTCCGTGGCTCCCTCCCATGAACGTGCCTGCCTGTGGGTCCCTACGTGGCCTCACGGGGAGACCCTGATGACTAGTGGGGTGAAGTGAAGGGTCGATGGGGACTGGCTTCAGTGACCACCCAGTACAGCACGTGCAGAGTGTGCAGCGGCCCTGTATGCTGGGCCGGGCATTCTGTGGGCGCATCCTGCCGAGCGTGGCAGCATACACGTCTCCAAATGTCACCCAGTGGAAAACAGCTAATGCAGTAGGTGATTTATCTTGAGCATGTGGCTAGTTGGCTAGGGCTGTGTTTGTGTCACTAGGAGAGGTAAGTCAAAAGTGTGGCTTCCTAGGTGACTTCTGGTGGACAAGTGATGTATTCTTGTGTGCTGCTTCCTTGAGCTGGCCCTTGTTTTTCCTGGTTGGCAGAAGCCAGGTGTCAAATATGATAGCCACCTTGCACCCAGGCATGGTGGGGAGGCCCTTCCACCTGCAGCCACCCACAGCGGCAGGCCTGCAGCGCTGTGGGGGCGGGGCAGTAAGCTTGGCTTTGGGACCCTGTTTCTTTTTCACTTTGTTTGGTACAGGGTCTCAATACACAGCTCAGACTTGTAGTGATCCTCCTGTTTTCAGCCTCCCCAGCGCTGGGATCACAGGCCTGTGCCACCCTGCCCTGTCTTGGCTGGCTCAGCATGTGGGGGGAGGACAGCATGCAGTACTGGGGATCGAACTGGTCCCCATTTCTGTAGAGTCTTATTCCTGACAGTGGAGCACAGATGCTGTCATAGACCATGAGTAAATGTCCACGTCCTCAATAAAACTGTATCGGGGGCTTGTGGGTTAGCTCAGTTGTAAAAGTGCCTGCTTGGACAAATTCAGTCAGGCGCAGGGGACCACGGTTAAATCCCCAGCTCTACAAGCCACACCAGACTTGCCCTTAAGGCAGCCTGAGCTAGCCCCCCACCAAAAAAAAAATCTCTCCAATAAAACTATTCGTAGCCATGGCTGATGGGGTGAGCATTGGGCCGCAGCTGCTAGAAAACCTGAGTCAGGAGGATCACTTGAGCCTGGGAGTTTGAGGTCAGTATAGGCAACATAACAAGATCTTGGGTCAAAAAATGAAAATTAAGCTGGGCACAGTGGCACACACCTGTCATCCCAGCACTTTGGGAGGCTGAAGCAGGAGGATTACCTCAAGTTGGAGACAGGGCCAGAGAGGTAGCCCAGCGGCGTAATTGCCTGCCTCATAAGTGCAAGGTCCCAAGTTCAATCTCCAGTACTCCCGGAAAAAACAAAGAAACAAAAAACATGGGGGGGGTTTGATGCAGGCCAGAACTCTTTGGATCAGGCTTCTTTGGATCAGCTGGCCACTGTCTGGGCTCTCTGTGGGAACGGCACTGTTGTAGTATGTGCTGGGCCCTGGACGTGCTACCTCAGTTTCTCTAGGTGTGGTCCTCAAACTGGTCCCAGGACCCTGTCACACCTCCACATGCTAAGGACCCCAGAAGCGCTTGGTGGTGTGACTTCTTCATTAGCATGGTAGACAGACTAGTCATG